GTTGCAGGGTGGTGGTCCGACCAATTTTTTTTTTCTCAATTTCCAACAAAAAAAACACAATATTGCACAAAAAAAAGAAAACAAAAAATTATCATTTTTTTTTAAAAAAAAAACATGATATTACACAAAAATAGGAAAAAAAAATCTCGATTACCAACAAAAAAAATATTATACAAAAAAACAAAAAAAAATTAAAAAAAATAACAAAACAACCACGGCAAGGTGGTGGGGCGCCTGGCCAGGACGACCGATGGCTGGTGGTGGCGCCAGGTCCGGCAGCCACGTCCACCGGCCTGGCTTCTGGGCAGGACGCCCAGCCACAGTGACTGGCGCCTGTCCCAAACGCCACTCACCGTGGCTGGGCGTCCTGCCCAGACGCCAGGCCGGTGGACGTGGCTACCGGACCTGGCGCCACCACCACCTTGCCGCCACGAGCCACCACCACCTTGCCGCCACGAGCCAACCACCTTGCCGCCACGAGCCTCGACATCCCCGTACTTTGATTTTTATTGAGGTTGTGTTTTTTTTTTAAGGTCAAGGGCAATATTGTAACTTCGACATAAGTTTGCGGGCTTTATGTGGAGATTTGCGGGCGATGTTTAGCAATCCACTTCTTAACATACTATGATGCGGATAGAAGAAATCAAGATTAAAATCTTTATTGCTTTCTTTGATTTTCATTTGAGTCGACTACTAAGTTGTGAACTTGTGGAGATTGACTGTCATCAATTCAAAAGTTATGCATCTATACTATATACTAAAGTAATCACCAATGTTATCCCTAAAGTACATGTGTCGCATTCACAACAAAAAAATAAGATTAAAATCTTTATTGCTTTATTTGATTTTTATTTGAGTCGACTACAAAGTTGTGAACTTGTGGAGATTGACTGTCGTCAATTCGAAAGTTATGCAGCTATACTATATACTAAAGTAATCACTAATGTTATCCCTAAAGTACATGTGTCGCATTCAATGCAAAAAAAATCCACCAAAAACTTTTTATTTTTTCTTGTTTCTTTCATATAAAATAACATGATAAAAAGTTAATGAATAAAACTTACAATAATTTATAAATATAGTTTAAATAACTATCTAATTTAACAAGATAGTTTTAACGTTAGACATTAAATGAATTCAAATTCAAAAGGAAATAAAATAAACATGTTATATAAGTCTGTTCATTTAAACTAACTTTATTTTAATTGACTTTTATTATTTTCAAGTCTTATTATTATGAAACCATACATTGCATTGGAAAAAACTAGTGATTATTAAAATTAGTGTTAGTTTCTATTATTAGGACTAGTTAGTTAGGATTTTCTAGTTTAGATAGACTATAATATTTATCTTTTATAAAACAAGGTTGGGATTATTGTTAGGATTTATTTTATCTTTTAACTAATTTTTGGCCCCGTGCAATACACAGATTCATAATAATAAGATTTATTAATATTGATAGTCAATCGAAATCAAGTAAAATAAAATAAAATGACTTAAATATGTAACAATTGTTTTTGGAAATTTGAATTTATTTAATGTCTACACTTAAAATACTTATAGGTTACGTATGAAGTATACATAAATAATTTCATTAAAAGAATTTGGAATTTTTATTTTAATAGAATTTCTTTTATAAGAAATAAAAAGTATTTTGGAGGGAATTTTTTTAGAAAACTACGCTAAGTATTTTATCTGGTGATTACTTTTAGTATATAACTAGATTAGCCTCGTGCGATGCGCAATATATATTGACAAATAACTTTGTTATGTTGTTAGTTTGTCACAATTACAAAGTTTGTACTAAATTTGGATATTGATTAATACCAAAAAAATTCCAATTAAAAAAAATGAATAGTAAAATAGATGACCAAAAAATCTATTAAAACAGAATATTACTAAAACAGAATATGATGACGTCTGTACTGTACACATGTCGCTCTCTTAATAAAAATTTCCCGCCTAAATGCTATGATGATTTCATTTTTTTAAGTATCATATTTAACATTTTTGAAATTTAAATATTAGAAACTTTTACCTTACAATTTACAACTAAAACCTAAGCGACATTGAACAGGTATAATATAAAAATTTTGATGAAAATCTAAAATTTTAAATTTTAAATTATTTTTTGTACATAATTCTTATTTATGTTTATGTATAATAGCCAATTTAGTTTTTTTAAAAAATGTACAAATTACAAAAATATGTATTAAATAAACCGTGCATCGCAAAGGGTCTAACCTAGTTTTAACTAAAAATGATATGCGGAGTAAAATAAAGTGATGACATCACATATATTTTAGGCGGGAAAATTTTCTAGCTCATCTTGACATGTGTACAGTTAGGAGAAAGGAAGATCAGTAGTTGTTATTTTATTAATAGTTACTAGGTTAAAACCCGTGCGAGTCACGGTTTATGTAAAATCTATTTTTATAATTTGTATATTTTTTTAAAAAATGGATAAATATAAATAAGAATCATGCAACTTGTACAAAAATATCTGTACTTTTAAAATTTTATTTTCATCAAAATTATGATATAATACCTGTTCAACGTCGCATATTTCATTGCAGGAGTCTATTTATTAGTGTGCTACTTAAAATTATTTGCTTTTTTAAGGATAAATTGATAGGGTGTAGTTGTAATGTAGAAGCTTCTAATATTCAAATTTCAAAATTATTAAATAAGATAGCTCCACAAAAAAAAAATGACATCATCCTTGCATTTAGGTGGGAAAATTTTTATTATGAGAGTGACATGTGGACAGTGATGACGTCTGCAACGTATTGTTTTAGTAATAGTTAATAGATATAGATATAGATTTTGTTTATCCTATTGTAAAAGTGATTGTATGCTTATAAATAGAATTATTTTCATTAATAAAGTTATATTTTTGATTTTTGAAAAAATTAAAATTTGTGAGTTATTTCGCTTGAATTTTAATTTTCTTTAAAACTAGTTTTGGCCCCGTGAAATGCATGGATTCATAATAATTTGATTTATTAATATTGATATATAGTCAATTGAAATGGAATTACTTGAAATAATATTACTAATGTAATAGTGTTTTTTTTTTTGGAAATTTGAATTTATTTAATGTCACTCTTTAAAATCTTATGTGTTATATATATATATATATATATATATATATATATATATATATATATATATATATATATATATATATATATTCAGATGTTTCTAATAGAACTTTTAAAAATAAATAAATAAATAAATAGCAATTTGGAGGGAAAATATTTCACAAAACTATGCCAAGTGTTCCATCTGGTGATTACTTTAATATATAGTATAGAATAGATTAGTCTCGTGTGATGCACGATATATATTGACAAATAAATTTGTTATATTGTTAGTTTGTCAAAATTACAAAGTTTGTACTAAATTTGGATATTGATTAATACACTAAATGTTGAAATTATATATAAAAAAAATGAATAGTAAAATAGATGACCAAAAAATCTATTAAATATTACTTAAACAAAATATGCTGACGTCACCACTGTCCACATATCGCTCTCTTAATAAAAAAACATTCCGCCTAAATGCAATGATGATGTCATTTTTTTTAAGTATCATATTTAACATTTTTGAAATAAATATTAGAAGCTTTTACCTTACAAGTTACAACTAAAACCTAAGCGACATTGAACATGTATAACATAAAATTTTTGATGAAAATCTAAAATTTTAAAATTAAAATTATTTATCGTACATAATTCTTATTTATGTTTATGTATAATAGTCAATTTATTTTTTTTAAAAATGTACAAATTACAAAAATACGTATTATATAAACCGCGCATCGCACGGGGTCTAACCTAGTTTTAACTAAAAATAATATGCGGATTAAAATAAAGTGATGACATCACTTATATTTTAGGCGGGAAATTTTTTTAGCTCATCTTGACATGTGTACAGTTAGGAGAAAGGATGATGTCAGCAGTTGTTATTTTATTGATAGTTACTAGGTTAGAACCCGTGCGATGCACGGGTTTATATAAAATCTATTTTTATAATTTGTATCTTTTTTAAAAAATGGATAAATATGAATAAGAATTATGCAACTTGTACAAAAATATTTGTACTTTTAAAATTTTATTTTTATCAACATTATGATATAATACCTGTTCAACGTCGTGTAATAAATATTTCAATGTAGGAGTCTATTTATTAGTGTGCTACTTAAAATTATTTCATTTTTTAAGGAAAAATTGATATGTTGTTGTTGTAACGTTGAAGCTTCTGATATTCAAATTCCAAAATTATTAAATAAGATAGCTCCACAAAACAAAAAAAAAAAAAAAAAAAAAAAAAAAAAACGATGACATCATCCCTGCATTTAGGTGGGAAAATTTTTATTATGAGAGTGACATGTGGACAATGATGACGTCTGCAACGTATTGTTTTAGTAATAGTTAATAGATATAGATATAGATTTTGTTTATCCTATTGTAAAAGTGATTGTATGCTTATAAATAGGATTATTTTCATTAATAAAGTTACGTTTTTGATTTTTGAAAAAATTAAAAAATTGAGAGTTATTTCGGTTGAATGTTAATTTTCTTTGAAACTAGTTTTGGCCCCATGCAATGCAATAGTGTTTAATAATGTTAATAATGATATATAGTCAATTGAAATTAAATTACAAATGTAATAGTTATTTTTTTCTTTTTTTGGAAATTTGAATTTATTTAATGTCATTCTTTAAAATCTTAGGTGTTAAATATATATATATATATATATATATATATATATATATATATATATATAGGGTCAGGATCCGGTAAGAACTACCCTTTATGTGAGAACACTCCTTATATATGAGAACAAATCTAAGCCGTAGGATTAGATTAAAGTAGACGATTAGGATCAACGGAGAACAAGTAATGGCATTAGTGTAAATAATGAAGGTGCCCAACTTCATATTTTACCCAAAATATCTGATTTTCTCTCTCATTAAACACATTTCACACTTTCCATCATATCAGCTTCTCTCTTAAAACCACCAAATTTTCTCTAAAATCCATTGTGACTGCTCCGAATCAAAGCAAATCACATCGATTCCTTTTGATTTTTGCTCAAATTCAACGAATTTTATTCATAAACTTATTTAAAATAAGTTAAATTGGGCAATTTAATTAGAATTTTTGCAAATACGAACCCTATTTTGGCAGAAGAACAAATTGAAGAAAATTTTGAATGGAGGTTGGCGAAGAACAATTAATTCGTACAGAAATTTGTTCTAAAATGCAACGGTAACTTATACTCCAATATTTTCAAAGATTTTGATTATTTTTTGGGCGATTTTCGGCTAATATTTTGTGTACTATGTATATATAGTTCGAATTGTTGCAACTTGCAGGGTTAGAAGGAATCGGATAAAAGAAGTCTCTTTAATTAATGGGCCTGCTACCAATTCGTAAGACTTTTCTTCAACTTTTAGCTTTATGTTCTAAGCTTGTATTATGAAGGTTTTATTGTGCTTGATATGTTATAAACTTACAATCATAATGGGTGATTAAGAGAAGTTTTTTGTACCGTGTATCTATGTGAAGATGTTGGCATTGTTAGTATACTAGTCTCATTGTGTTGTATCTATTTGAATTAATATTTGTTGTTTGCTTGACATGCTTATGTTCTAAATTTATATGTATTGTTGTATGATTTGTTGGTTCGTGTGAGATGGAGGTGGCTGATTCAGGTTGTTTGGAAGGTTGAATTGTGGAAATTGGGTGGTTTGGGTTGCTACTATGGGATCATGATTGGTGGTAATTTGTTACAGGGTGCTGTTTGGTGTGCTGCAATGTGTGGCATGGCTGTGAGGACAGTAGCAGCAGCTTAGTGTTGGCTAGGAATGATGGCTGCAAAATTCTAATTTCAGCGATATTAGGTAATTTCAGCGCTACTCTTAGATTATTATTGTTTGATTTTTTTTTTTTTGTGTCATTATACCATTTTTTTTGTGCGATTTATGTGCGGTTTTATTGAATAATTTTATTGCATGTTTTTGAGATTTGCTGCCTTTTTAACTTAACCAAGTTATAAAACATTGCTTTTGGAATCTTGTTATCAGAATTATTGACTTCAGTAGGAAACTATTTTCTTAGGTTTCATACCCTTCTATATTTGATCCCGCTGAGAAGTATATATCTTTGATAATTCCTGCATATAAGGAAGAGCACAAACTTCAAAGTGCACTTAAGGAAACTATTAAGTTTGTCTAGAATACAATGGCAAAATAAGATCCTTCAATATTCTCTTTGTCTGTCTGTTACCTCTTTTGTTAGTACCTTGAATTTGATATTTCTTACATAATGTATTTCGGAAAACCTGTGTGTCCCCCAAAAGATATTAGCTATTAATCTCTGTTTTTCTTGAGGCTATAAATATGTATACGTTGGTGACAAGTTACATTTTATGTAGAATTAATGATTTGAATTTTAAATCTTCAAGAATATGTTCTTCTTAGGTATCATAGTTTATGTACATTGTATGGTTTACCCTAGTTGTACGTTTAAACAATTAATGGGGCGGTATGATCATTCCTTGATGCTTTGAACTGAGGTGAGAAAATTGATGAAAGTGAAAGAGAGTGTGGAGTGGCCTGCTACACTGATAAATCTTGCACAATTTGTGTTCTTTCATGTTTGACATTTGGGATAGTTTTCAAATGCTTTGAACTGAGAGTGAGAAAACTGATGTTTCAAATGCAGGATGATAATTTTCCATATTCTACATGCTTGCATAAAAATGATTCTTAAATTTAGGTACAGAAACACCAGCCTTTATATTGTGATCGGTGCTGAACTATATGATCTCTAAATCCCTATTTGAAGGCATGCTCAATCCTCATCAAACATAAGTGATGTCATTTAAGTTATTTCACTTCTTTGGTGACTTATCTTGTCGTATTGTAAGCAATTTGCAACAACGGGGTGGGACCTAAATTTTCATATCTTGTCTTATTTTCAGCTATTTGCAACAGTGTGGCGAGAAAGATAAATCATTTACTTATGAGGTATAGCCTAAACTGCATTAGCTATGAATACTCAGTGCATTATATTACATAGAAATATCATGTTTCCTTTTTAGGTTTTGTCTATTATTTCGCTTTGTATATGTAGTATCAGGAACAGATGTACAGACCATACTACTGTTTAGTTTTATTTATTTGCAATATGTGTAGTATGTAAAGAAAATCATCGAGGTTTAAGTCCTCATTTATACTGGTTTGTTTGAGTCCTCTTTTTGCTAAAATTTACTTGAGAACTGCTATGGTCTGTAACTCCTCAAAATTTTACAGGACAATTAGGCAACGACAGCAATTTTGTGATAATCACTCTAACACTGAAGTAAAATCATAGCATGTGTTGAATAATAATTTCAATTTTTGTGATTTGTTAGGTGATTATAGTGGATGATGGAAGCGTTGATGGGATCAGAAGAGTAGCTTTTGACTTTGTTAAAAAGTACAAGGTGAAAAATGTTAGGGTTCTTCTTCTTGGAAAACACTATGGGAAGGGGGAAGCTATTAGAAAAGTGAGTAACAATTCTTTGTTCATTTTATCAAATGAGCAAACAATTCTTTGTTGATTTATCAAATGAGCTGATTAAAAATTTATAACATAAAAAATGATTTAAAACATATGATAAACCTATTAGCTCAAATGGTAAAGCACTATACAAATGCATAGGGGATGTAGGTTCAATTCCTACATAGGTTATCTCTATAAACAAAATTAATTAAAAAAAAAAAATCAAATTCGTACTAAACTATATGAGCGAAAAAATGATTTGAAATGATTTATAACTATATAAACTTTGGTGCAATTAAACTCTCATACAAACTTGTGTCTCCACATCACATAAATGAACTTACGTGGGATTCGAACCCACATCTTTTGTGCATTTTCACAATGCTCTACCCTTGAGCTAGTAGGCTAACATATTTAAAACATTCAAACACACTCACAAATGAGCATTAATTTGACAAAATAAGCAAGAATCATTTGCTCATTTGACAAATGAGCATTAAATAATTTGCTCATTTGACAAAAGAGCATTGAATATTTTTTCTCATTTGACGAATGAGCAAAAATTAATTGCTCATTTGACAAATGAGCAAAAAATTAATTGCTCAGTTTGACTAATTATTTGCTCATTTTGACAAATTAGTAAAGAATAAATATTAATTTTTGACAAAATGAGCCAAAATTATCTGATCATTGACAAATTTGCATTAAATAGTTTGCTCATTTGATAAATGAGCAAAGAATTGTTTGCAATTTTATAACCTGTAATTTTTTTTAAATATCAATGATGAAAGATCAACTTTTAGCAAATGAGCAAATATTTAGTTGCTCATTTGTAAAATGAGCAAATACTTAGTTGCTAATTTAACAAATGAACGAAAACTTAGTTGCTCATTTGTCAAATAAGCAATTAATTTCTTTGCTCATTTGTCAAATGAGTAACCATGTGTTTGCTCATTTGTCTAATAAGCAAATAAATTTTTTTTTGAAGGAAATAAGAAAATAAATAGTAACTCATTTGTATAATAAAAGCAAACATTTCTTTGATCATTTAATTTGGGAAATGGGCAATCAATTTTTTGCTCATTTAGCAAATGAGCAAATAATTAATTGCTCATTTGTCAAATGAGAAAATACTTATTTGTTAATTTAACAAATGAGCAAAAACTTAATTGCTCATTTGTCAAATGAGCAAATAGTTAGTTGCTCATTTGTCAAATGAGCAAACATTTCTTTAATCATTCATTAAATCAACAAGCATTTCTTTGCTCATTTTTGAAATGAGCAAACATTTCTTTGCTCATTTGTGAAATGAGCAAACATTTCTTGCCTCATTTGTGAAATGAGCAAACATTAGTTTGCTCATTTGTCAAATGAGCAAATAATTAGTTACTCATTTGTAAAATAAGCAAACATATCTTTGATCATTTGGGAAATGAGCAATCAATTTATTGCTCATTTAGCAAATGAGCAAATAGTTAGTTGCTCATTTGTAACAGATATATGTCCTTTCCAATGGTAACATATGTAATCTACAGACATCACAAGGAGACAAATTAATGAAGCACATAAGATCAATGAGAAAGTTTATATTTGATAATAGTACAGAAGTCTGGTCTGAGACTCTGAGATCCCTCTTCAGACTATAGCATAACAAAAGGACTCTCCAAAGTCTAAGCCTCACACACATATAATAGTACTTCCCAAAATGTGTGTGTGCAAAACTATATACATGTATATGAAAAGTACCAAGTGCTAGTACTGCTAGATTTGATAATGATTAAATGATAACACATAATCATCAATATATATATCATTGCGAAATTAATCAATTGTACATAACTATATGACTATTGCATGGAGTATCCAGGGCATTAAGTTATAATGTACTTATCAATTACATCAGGACTCGAGAACATGGGAAACCTAGACATTTCTTTGCAAAACAATCAATCAATAAACATTCAGCTCTTCTTCAATCAAAAATGAGACATTCGATCACGCAGAGATAATCATATAACTTTTGATATAATCAATTTGAAAGATCGGATATATGTAAAATACGGAAATGAGGAACCAATCATGAGAGGCCAAATGGTTCTGGCAGAGGCTATTTTCGAAAACGGAACACTGATCAGACATATCATCCACGCTATGCAGCCAAGTAGTGTTCTTCAGATCCTCTTTTAGTAGGATTGCGTCATATCGGGTGCTCTCGTACATGTCTGCTCCAGTCAATCTCCCAAACAACCCCTTCTTTCTTCCCGTTCTCAAGCAACCCATTAGAATGTGTACTTCCATTACTGATCCATTACTGTTGACAGATATTGGACTGCCAGACCCGTGACTGGTTTGGATTTTGGATGGAGCAGACCGGATGCTTTGAGGGAACAAGGAGATACTTGGAACTGGGCGCATGCTCCTTGAACCATTTCTAATATCCTACATGAGCAGTACAAAGCAAGCAAGGAGTTATTCAAAACCAATTGTACATAGATATTCCATTTTCCGAGTGGGAATTCTAGCTAGTACACAAAGCATGTCAAAGAATGAAAGACAGAAAGCACACATACAAGGGGACTAATTCTTTCCAACAATAAAGATGAAATCAATTGTCATTTGTTGCAGACGTTCCACCATATTAAAGAGAACGAAGTGAGAGCATAATATACGATTGAGACATAAATTCAAGCGAGATATAAACATATCAGAGGTAATATGAAGACTATAAGGCATAAGTTACTGATTACAAGTACAAAAACCGGTCACATAATGATTAAGCTGGGAGTACAACGTCCTTTACAGATGGGGAAAAAAAAAAATCAATCCAAGCCATATTTACCAAAACCAGAAAAGATTTAATCAAAAGTCAAAAGTGTAAAGGTACCTATCCCAGAGGAGCCCCCATTTCTACTGTTCTCAAATATTTCCAGATTCTCCAATGCAGCAACATCTAACACCATATAAGGTTTATCAAAAACATTACAGTAATCAGAGCATGGAAGTGACTCCATATAACACATAATATTCAGCAAAATATCATCGAAAAATCGATCGCAAACACAAAATTCGGAAAATAAACAAAACTCAGAACAATTGAACACACACAAAGAATGTATTGAAATGTCATCCAATTGGAACAATCAAAACCATAATTTAGCATGAAAAAGTATACAAATGATAAAAAAAATTAAGCCGAAGAAACATACAAAATATTGAAAAAAAGAGCAAAATTGAACAACATTATGAAAAAAAAATCGAATAATACAGGAATTAAGTGATTAAATTGCAAAACTTAAAACAATTTGATGATGAATAATTGAATATCGCCGATTTTATCATCATCTAAGTGAAGCCCCTAAGTTGAAATTTCAGAGAGAGAATGTGAGGGATTTGAACAATAAAAGAAATTTGAACAATAAGAGAGGGAGAATCGTAGGTTTTGCTGGAAATCCAGAGGGAGATGAGAGAAAATAGCTGCAAGTGAGGGAAATTCATGGGTTTCTTCAGCAACGGTGATGAAGGAGGAGAGAGAAAATAACTTGCAAAATGCCAATTTTTTTATTTTTTTTTTAAATTATGTTTGACCGGGATAAATAGTAGCCATTTGATGCAATTGATCCAACGATTGTAATATGTCCTCATATATATCAGGTTCTCATATAAGGGGTGTGGTCTCATATGATCCCATATATATATATATATATATATATATATATATATATATATATATATATATATATATATATACGGGAGGGTTCCGCTAAAAACAGGGCTTATGGTGAAAACTAAAAACAGCAAATCTCAGCCATTGATTATTAATGATATAATCTAACGGTTGAAATACAAGGTACACAAAATCTTAGCAAATCTCAGCAAATCCTCTGTTAATTTTGCTGAAAAACGCAAAATCTCAGCAAATCTCAACAAATCCTCTTTTCATCTCATTATCAAATCGTCAATTCCTCAATTCGTCAAATTTTAGGGCTACTTTGATTATTTACTCCCAAAATTGAGGGCTCGTGATTCTTCAATAATTTGGGGCTTCCTCAATAATCTTAGTAAGTGTTCTTCATTCTTTAATTTCTGTTTTTAGCTGAATTTCTAGTTGATTGCGGCTTACAATACCGATATAACTGTGATTATTTCCTTGTATATAAGCTGAATTTCTTGAATTTCTATTTGATTGCGTATGGTAGGTTATTTCCTTGTATGTGATTATTGTAGGCTGTTTTTATAATAGTGCTCTGTTTTTTAGTTTCAATCTCATCAACTTGTAGTTTCAATCCTCATCAACAATATGCTCTTTTTTCGTTTTTGTATAAATATTTGCAATATATATATATTTTTTTTATATTAAAGTTTTTTTTTCCTGGATATATGATATTAAACACTAGGAGAAATTGTTGCACATAAGGTGTTTGTGTATTTGCTTAAATGACTAACACCTTGCTTAATACCATATAGTAACTCTTTTTTATGATACCATAACCATATATTTTAGACTGTTTTTGTTGGTGTCCAGTTAGTTGCACCATGGAATGGATTATTTTATTATAGTACCCATTTTAAACCATATATTTGATATTATATGCAGACAATGCAAGAGGAGTCAGAAGAAGGTAGTTGCTCAAATACATCTACAACTACCAATGTTGCTGAAAACTTACCGTCACTAAAGGGCCCAAGTGTGTGTTACACTCCCAGAGGAACAAAAGAGTTTATACCGTGTTGTCCCCCTGAACTAAAGCCTACACTTGGTATGCTTTTTGATTCCTTACTTAAAGGTGTTGATTTTTATAAGCAATATGCTAGATTTGGTGGGTTTGTGGTAAGACTAGGTACTGAAAAGAGAATTAAAGATAGTGATAAAGTCTACTTGAAATATTTACATTGTAATAAACAAGGGTTTACGAAGGATGGTGAAACTAAAGCAAAAGTTTCTAACAAAGATAAAAATCCTAAAGCTAGAAAAAGAACCATAAATCGTGTTGGATGTAATGCAATGATTGGGTTTAGAGAACGTTCAGATGGAAAATGGATGGTTTATGTCTTTCATGAATCTCATAGCCACAATCTTGCTTCTCCCAACACAATGAATTTTTTGGCAAATGTTGGAAACCTTAAACTTGGCCAGAAAAAATTCATTTTTGACAACTCTAGATTGAACATTGGTCCAAACAAGTCTTATAAGTTGATGAAAGAACATCTTGGTAGCTATGATAATATAGGTGCAACATTGAATGATTTCAAGAACTTTAATCGAGACTTGAAAGCTTACATACAAAAAAGAAAAAACCAAACAGACAGACAGAATTAAAGGGTAAAATACTTACATCAATAGCAATTGAACGGATTTCCTCATTAGACATTGAACTGGCAGGTAGCTCAAACTGAATAACACCCTTAACATTGCTACGGACACCTTCATAAACAACAGATTCTTTTCCAGAAGTTTGATTCACAGGAGCTTCCTTGAATTGATTACAAACAACTTGTCCATCCTCAAATTGCAACTTCTCACTCACTGGATATGTATCAAACTCAAGAATTCCACACCCAAAACCCTTGGACAACTTTTCATTTCTAATTCTATCTCTTATATCCACATCAGTCCAATGTTGAATTAAAGGTATTGTAGAATTTAACACAACATTCCTAAACCTCAATCGATGAAAATAGATAATCTCTAACATCAAAACACAACCACAAAACCATTCTATATTTCCTTCTTTGTAGCTCTTCACGGCTTCACAAAGTCTATCTAAGACATATTTTGACCAATTATAAATTCTTATTTGATTAACATCAACCAAACATTTTACAATTCTCAAATCCACAGTTCTGTTGGACGTAGGTGCTAAAAAACTTGAAAAAGCATGCATGATAAAAAGATGTCTGAATTCTTCCCCGCCATCTACTAGTAAAGGGATCTTAGATTCCAAAAAACCCAAAGGAATCTGATCATTCTCACCCATAAGACCAAAATGAGACCTCCATTTAACCTTTAAATCATAATCAGGGTTGATGACATTAGCACAACGAGAAATTTCTTCAACTTTCTTAGATGTTTTGCAAGGAAGGCAAAAAACATCATACACATCAAATTCAGTCACAACAAAATCTTTTTTACCATCAATAGTAAACATGCAGCTACCATGATCAAAACAATCTACCAACCATGATAGCATATCAGTTGCAGTTCGTTTCACCTTCAAAGATAACAAACCTCCAAAGCCAATTTCTTTAACAGCCTTGATTTGATCATCTGAAAAAGTTTTAATCATCTCTACTAAATGAAATGGCCTGCAACGTGTTTTAAATCCTCGTTGCACCCTGTAACAAGACATACGAAAAGATAAACAAAAGAAACCAAAATAGTAGCCTCTTTTTATAGCATAGTGACCTTTTTTTTAAACAAAACTTCAAAAAAAAGAAACAAATATTCACTTACATATGTACATCACTATCTATGATTGCAGATTCTTGCCTATGAATCACAATGTTCTTATCCTTATTTGCCTTCACTTTCTTCACTTTAAGACCTTCATTTTCATCCAACTTTCTCTTCTTAGCTGGCAAAACAATAGCATGTGAAGAAGAAGACTCATTCCCCTTCTTTCCTTCCATCACAGTTGACAAAGGTATAGCATTCTCAATGTTAGAAGGTTTCTTTTTCTTAGTGATAGCTTTCTTTTTCAATCCTTTTTCAATACAAGCATCTTTATCTCTGTTAGTATCATCATCGATCATTTTGCTTCCACCATCAATATGCTCTTCATCTTCATGATCGAGATTGATACATGCTAAAAACACGCAAGCATATAGTTATATATACAATTATCTTCATTTTCATCTAGCAAACAATTATAATATAGCAAACTAATAACTTAAAAATAATAATCATTGTCATTGATATAGTGACCTTTTTCAGTTACATAGGGAACTAATAATATAGTAACTTTTATATTAATATAGGGACCTACATTCTATAGTATTAGGAGACTATCATAATAGAGCAACTAGTATATTAAGGTTAATAATCCAAAAATCAAACATTCATCATACCTCCTGTATCTTTCAATTTAACTCCTCCTGTTGAGCTACGAAGGCCTCTCCTTTTTTTAAAAGTAGCACCACCTCTAGTTCTCACCATAGGAATAAAATCTAATCCAAATCGAATGAAAATCCTTGTTGCACCCTGTAACAAGACATACGAAAAGATAAACAAAAGAAACCAAAGTAGTTGCCTCTTTTTATGGCATAGTGACCTTTTTTAAAACAAAACTTCAAAAATAACATAGTCCAACACCCCTCCAAAAAGATTCAGTTTATTTTGGTTTGGTTTAGAACAAGTTCAGGTCATATTCATATTTATGTCTTTTGACAACCAATTTGTTTACGAATAAAAAAATCAATTCAGGTCAGGTCAGGGCAGTGAAAATCAGATCAAACTAAGGTATCCAAATCCTCGAATTCTGGCTACCTTGATTCAAGTTCAAAACAGGCCTAATTCAGAAATTTTGAAGCAAAATCCAGTACAGAGTCAAATTAACCATGCACATATGTCAGACTAGAAGTACACTTTTCAACAGTCAAGAAAGTCATGTAGATGTCGATTTAGCATGATCAGAAGCAATCTATCACAAATCCACCCCAGATGTCTGTAGCTCCTGGGTTAGTCGCTTAAGCAATCTGCTCAACACCAAAAATCGGACATATAGAATCAAAGTCAGTATCTTAAACCAGGAAGCATTCTTCATACTTTATGTTCTTTCTTTCTTTCTTTCTTTCTACGGTTGATGTGGAAAGAGTCTTTGCATCAAACACCAGAAAATTTATCTAAGTGCAAAAGGCAAATAATTCATGTAGGAACCTAATGACATTTGATGCAGCTGAAACCACTTCAAATCACAAATAAGAAAAGACAGGTTGTAAGAGAGAAACACAACAGCATCAAGGAACACCAATGCAACCAAGGCAGTTAGTCCATCTCCAAACATGTCACCATGTTGGTCAGGTCTCAATTCCAGATCATCATTAGCAAGAGATTGATGACCATTCCTGTTGCCTACACCAAACGGAACACGGGAAAATACAAATCGAGTTGGACACCAAGTGGAAGCAGGAACCAGTGTAGCTAATTTATGTCTCCAAACTCTCACTAATTCACTCACAAATCCACTAAAAACACTTCAAATTACTCAAAATTCGAATTAACTACTCCAAACTCTCACTAATTCACTCACAAATCCACTAAAAACATTTCAAATTACTCAAAATTCGAATTAACTACTCCAAACTCTCCCGAATTCACTCACAAATCCACTAAAAACACTTCAAATTACTCAAAATTCGAATTAACTACTCCAAACTCTCCCGAATTCACTCACAAATCCACTAAAAACACTTCAAATTACTCAAAATTCAAATTAACTACTCCAAACACAAACACACACACACAATTCGCATTTTAGCTATTCGCATTCCTAACAGGCATTAATTCGAAATCAAAATCCACAAAAATCAGCTAAACTCGAAATCAACAAAAACAAAATTATGCTCAACAAAAATCGTGTTACTAAGAAGATGAAGAACAACAACAAAAGCAGAATTTCGAGCAAAAATACACATAAAAACCTAGTTTACTTAAATTAAGAAAAATTAAACAAAATACATTTAAAAAATACTTCTACTAAAACGAAACTTAAGTTGAAATTCAAAAAATCAAATCAAATCGAAAAAATAAAATAAAAAAACTTGCAAAATTACAAAATTAAACAAAAATCATACACGAAAAACATAATAGACATTAAATTTTCGGTTGAATCTACAAAAAAGTACTCATGAAATTCCAGCAAACAAAATTTCAGAAACCTAATAACCTCAAATCGTGCAAAAATAGCGAAATTACCACAAAGAACTCACCTGATAATAGATCGTAGAGCTGAGAAATTGCTAAAAATCAAAGTAATTGAAGCGGTGTTGCTGAAGGAGTTCGCTGATGGTAATTGAAGCGGTGTTGCTGAAGGAGTTCGCTAATGTCGAGAAATTAGGAGAGAGAAAGTGAAGAGAGAAGGAAGAGGAGGAAGAAAATAACAGAGGAAAGAGAAAGTGTTTTCGCGGGAGGAGAGAGAAAATTAGGATATATATACATTAAATATCATCCGCTAGATTATAATCTACGGCTGGGATTAATTGTTTTCATGTTTTCACCCTAAGACTTGTTTTTACATTATCCTAATCCTATATATATATATATATATATATATATATATATATATATATATATATAGGAAGAGGATCATGTAAAAACAAGATTAAATCTGAAAACTGAAAACGGTTAATCTAGATCGTTGATTTCTATCTAACGGATGAGATCATATATGCCTTCTACGAAGTACTTCGTACTTCATAATAATTTAATTGGTTCAAATAACATTTCATTCTCTCTCCTCTATTATGCCGTATGTTTCTTTTCTCTCTCCTCCATAATCTCTTGATTTTTTCTCTCTCATCTCACTCATTCTCTCCTTCCAACTCAAAATAAATGTTAAACTCATCAAATTTCAGTGGATTTTGCTTCAAGCTTTAATAATTTTGACGTTAGCTTTAAAGGTGAATCTCACAAGTGACTTTTTCATTGATATTTTTTGTTTAATTTTTTTATTTTCTACATTTATGTTTAAAATCAAACTGATTTTTTCAATCTAATTTTCAAAATCGTAGGAGTAATTACAATTTATTTGAGCTTTTTCACGTCTATTTGAGTTTCATATCAGTGCAATTTTGATAAAATTGAACTTAATTTCTTGGTATTATTTGTTTTGGGTCGATGATATGATTTTCTAATTTACACCTATATATAATGTTTTTGGATAAACTAGGTTGATATTCGTTTGATTATTATGTTTAATATGATTTATAATTTTTCTATTTATGTATCGAATTTGATTTCTAGGTTTTGCAATTAGAATTTTGATATTCTTTTACGGTTGATGGTCTTTGCTTAGGTGGCTACTCGTGGTGTGGTTCGGGAGTTTCTACTACTCGGATCGGTGTTTGGTAAGCGGTGCAGTAGTCGAGATTTGGTGCGGTGGCGAGCTGATGGTTGCAGGGTGGTCCGATGGTAACTGGTTGTGCGGTTGGAGGTACAGTTACTTGAGTGATAGGCTTACATGTAGTAACTTTGTCCTTGATTGGGCTCTGTTCTTAGGGACAGTGTGGGGTATGTTCTTTGCTGCGGGGTAGCTCAGGGTCCTGAGAAGTGGGATACGAAGGTAGCAGAGGCCAATGAAATTTTATGGGGTCTGAAGTTAGCGCTGGACGAAGGCATTGATAAGTTAGTGGTTGAAACTGGAAAGTGATTGCTTGGGTTTAATTCAAGATATGCGTGCTCAACCCAGTGGCTTAAGTTCATTTCATTTAATTGTTGATGATATTTTAGAGTTCTAGTTTTAGTAGTATGGTCAAAATTGAAACAGTTACCCAATTTTTGTATATAGCGACCTCTATGTAAATGCCGTCAAATTGATATAGTTACCCTATTTTTGTATATAGTGACTTCTATGAATAGGATCAAAATTGGTATAGTTACCCTATTTTTGTATATAGTGACAAATGTTGTAAAAATTGATATAGTTACCCTATTTTTGTATACAGTTACGTTATTTTTATATATAGTGACTCTACGTTATTTTTTTTTTTTTAAACCGTTAGATCTTGTTAGTAACAATGGATGGTTGAGATTTTCTGTTTTTAGTTTTCACTATAAGCCCTGTTTTCAGCGGAACCTCCCCGTATATATATATATATATATATATATATATATATATATATATATATATATATATATATATATATATATATATATATATATATATATATATATATATATATATAATTATAAATATAGGGTCGGAATCCGGTGAGAACCACCCTTTATGTGAGAACCACCATCTATGTGAGAACCAATACCAGCCATTAGATTATATGAAATTCAATGGCTAAGATAATACAAAGCTGCCACCTCTTTTCTCCTTTCTCTCTCTTCCTCTCCACTCTCACATTCTCTCTCCTCTCCATTCTGATCTCCTTTCTCTCTCTTCCTCTACATTTTCTTCTCACGTATCTCTCCTCTCATCAACATAACAACCACCGGCCACAGCAACCACGATAACCCACCAAGCAGACCCCACGGAGCAACAACACCGACAAAAACCCACCAAGCAGCCCCAACACAGCAAACCACCGAGCATCACCGACTCACTGAGCAAGCACCACTAAGCAACAACGCAATACCAACAACACTGACGAGGCGACACCCACCGAGCACCACCAGTGTTTTTTCAGATCTAATTTTATTTTAGGTAAGAATTTAGATCTAGTTTTATTTTTTTCAAATTTCATCTTTTATATGCATTTCTGAACTGTTAGGTTATGTTTAATTGCTTTGAGTCGATTAGATTTATGGTTTATTTGCATTTTTTAGAGTTGAAATTTGGTTAGGGTTTGTAAATTTATTGATGGGTAAATGAATATGTTTCAATTTATTTGCATAATGAGTAAACTTTTTGATCTAATTTTTTTTTTTTTTTTATTTTTGTTGAGAAAGAATGAAATTTTGTCATGACTTTGTTTCTAGCTCGGATTTTAGGGTTTTAGTGAGATAATTTAGCAGTGATAATGATTGCTTTCAATATCTGTTGCGATTCGCCTTTTTTTAGCATTTTTGGTCAGAATTCTGTTTCATATTCCTGATAATATTTTTAGGGATTTCTATTGAATATGATTATGACTGGATTTTTTTTTCTTTAATGAGATGTTATTTTTCATAGAAATCGATTTCCCTTATATGTGTAAGTTTCGAAGATTATTCTTCAGCTAGATTTTCAATGTTTCTGGATGTAATTTGATTTGTTTGGAAAATACGATTAGATAGCTACATATTTTCATCCTGTTTTGGGAGAAACAAACATGACGTGAAAAATGTTTGTTATTGTGTGAATTATTATGTTTTTGTATATGATGTTGATTGAAGATAAATTAAACCTTCGTTTTCCTTGCAAAGTTTTCGATGAAACCGTCAACTGTATGTACAGATTTGTGACTCCTGGTTGCTGTTGATAATTTGTTAGAGCTTTTTTTATGTGTAGTCCTGAATAAATTATGTTTACCAAATATTTCTCTTTGGTTTGATCTTTTGAATTGTCTAGTATAATGCATATCTTTTTTAATGCATTTCTGTTAACAAAAACCCATCTGTAATGCATTTTTGAATTGTCTGGTATATTGCATATCTTTTTTAATGTATTTCTGTTAACAAAAACCCATCTGTAATGCATTTTTGAATTGTCTGGTATATTGCATATCTTTTTGAATGCATTTCTGTTAACAAAAACCCATCTGTAATGCATTTTTGAATTGTCTATTTTTAGTGTTTTTAAATAAAACTTTTGTACTTTTGTTTCCGGATCGATTGTGATGAATATGTGGCTTATTGTTCTGTAGGAGCTCAGTGACATGACATCTCTCCAAAGTCTGGAGTTGATCCAGTATTGCAAAGGGCAACATGTCATATGTGAACCTATTAGCTCAATTGGTAAAGCATTAGGCAAATGTATAGGGGATGTAAGTTCAATTTCTACATAGGTTATCTCTATAAACAAAATTAATTAAAAAAAAATCAAATTTGTACTAAATTATATGAGCAAAAAATGGTTTGAAATGATTTATAACTATATAAACTTTGATACAATTAAACTCTCATACAAAACTCCACATTACATAAATGAACCTACATGGGATTCGAACCCACATCTTTTGTGCATTTTCACAATGCTCTACCCTTGAGCTAGTAGGCTAACGTATTTAAAACATTCAAATACACTCACAAATGAGCATTAATTTGACAAAATGAGCAAGAATCATTTGCTCATTCGACAAATAAGCATTAAATAGTTTGCTCATTTGACAAAGGAGCATTGAATTTTTTTGCTCATTTGACAAATGAGCAAAAAATAATTGCTCATTTGACAAATGAGAAAAAAATTAATTGCTCATTTTGTCAAATTATTTGCTCATTTTTGACAAATTAGTAAATAATAAATCAGCAAATGAGCAAACATATGTTTAATTATTCATTAAATCAGCAAGCATTTTTTTGCTCATTTGTAAAATGAGCAACCATTAGTTTGCTCATTTGGCAAATAAGCAAATAATTAGTTACTCATTTGTAAAATAAGCAAATATTTCTTTGATCATTTGGAAAATGAGCAATCAATTTTTTGCTCATTTAGCAAATGAGCAAATAGTTAGTTGTTAATTTAACAAATGAGCAAAAACTTAGTTGCCCATTTGTCAAATGAGCAAATGATTAGTTGCTCATTTGTCAAATGAATAAATGATTAGTTGCTCATTTTTCAAATGAGCAAACATTTCTTTAATCATTCACTAAATCAATAAGTATTTCTTTGCTCATTTGTGAAATGAGCAATCATTAGTTTGCTCGTTTGTCAAATAAGCAAATAATTAGTTACTCATGTGTAAAATAAGCAAACAATTCTTTAATCATTTGGAAAATGAGCAATCAATTTTTTGATCATTTGGGAAATGATCAATCAATTTTTTACTCATATAACAAATGAGCACATAGTTAGTTGCTCATTTGTTAAATGAGCAAATAATTAGGTGCTTATTTGTCAAATGAGCAAATACTTAGTTGTTAATTTAACAAAGGAAAATTTAACGAGAATAATCCAACCTTTACTCCGTTCTCCCATGTTAATTCTACCATTTGATTATTCCTCATTAATCCAACCTTTGCCCCCCGTTTTCTCCCAGCAACCCTTTTTAACTGGTAACCGGCTGAAGAAGTGAGTGTTATTGTCGTTGACATGTTGACTTTCTGTTTGCCTTCCAAAATGAATTAGGCGCCATTACTATTCCAACCACTTATGTCACCATCACCATCAATGGTTTTTTTGTGCGGGTAAGGAGTTTAATCGCCATTACTACTCTCCCCTTCAAATTACTTTTTTCACTCTCCTTTCACTCTCAATTTACTGCAAAGTCCCCACTGTTCTACCTAAAATTGTACTTGGTGAAAGCAGGACGACTTCGCACAGAAGACTGTTGTGGTCCTCGAATCAAAACATTACACATGGAGTTATGTGATCAGCGAACCATAATTTTTTTTCCTTTTATGGCTAATTGTATGTGAGCTGTGGAAAATTTCCTTTTTTTGGATGGCTATGCTATGTAGTTGCGACAATTGTTCTAATGTTTGGGGTAGTGTTTGAAAAGTGGTGTATGATAATAATTGATTGTCTAATTGCGTATTTTATGCTCTGTTTTGGTTAATTAATTGTAAATTGTTAATTTGTTGCGTGAAATAAGAATTGGTTTTAAATGTTGGTTATTGTTGTGCATGTTGTGGTTTTTTTGGTAGATTGATGATCCTTTCTCCGCTGTCACACTGAAGTATCGGTTTGGTGGTGTTTTCAAAACTATTTCAAATGGAGAGGTATTATATAAAGGTGGAAAAGTTAGGACTTTTAGCATTGATCTTGACAAGTTGTGTTGGTGGTGGTTGGAAGATTTTGCAAAAAAATGTGGGGACTATGATAAAATAGACTACCTATATTATTTAGTTCCTGGTCTGACCTTAGCTGATGGTTTGAGAAAGATGTACTCGGACCTTGAAGTGCTGGAGTTGAGGAGTGTAGTTGAGAAATACAGATCTATTGAAATTTATGTGTTTGATGGAAAGGAGGCCCCACATTTTCAACCTATGCAGAAGTTTCCAATAAAGAGGTGCCCACCCAAACCTTTAATGTTAAAAGATGATTCCAACCAGAAAGATGCTTGTACCTCACATCTTGTCTTACACAAATCTAAGCCACCTAACACTCAACCCCTAATAAACCAAAAAAAAAGGCAAACACAGACCCACACCTTCATCTACCTTTGGTAGTGAATATAGTCAAACAACATTTGCTTCTCCTTTCACAGAACCTAACCCAAACTCACCAGAAAAGGTCATTGAGGATGACCCTTGGCTAGATAACAGAGCAGATAGCCCACTGGAATGGAATGAGCTTTTAAACTATTCTGACCACAGTGAGGATCCAGATCCACTCCATGATCCTATCACTGATAAGGGAAAAGGGGTTGCTGTGGTAGAGGATGACCCTTGGCTTGATAACAGACCAGAAATCCCACTGTAATGGAATGAGCTTTTACACTTTTCTAACCACAGTGAGGATTCAGATCCACTATATGATCCTAATACCGAGGATGAGTCAAATGGAATTTTAGATCTAGAAGATGATGTTGAAGAGTTTGATGAGCAGGAAGAGGGGTTCAATGAAAGCTTGCTTTTTTATGATGGAGGGTATGAAACAGAAGTAGATGATGAAGAGTTCAAAACTGCAAAAGAGAGGGTGAGGACTTGTTCTGCTAAGCTTGTTGAAATAGCATATCAACTTCAGAGGGAAGTTGCTGAAGGGAGGTTAGGCAGCCATGGGGAACAGACTCAAGTAGGAGGAGTAACAGTAGAAAGTGCTGATAAGGAAGGGAATGAGAGTGAATATGATGACAGTGATGATGATTTACTGACTCCAGGAAACAGTGATGAGGATGAAACTAGGGAAGAAAGAAAGAAGAGGTCAGGTACTCTGGTGAAAGCAGACACAGATTTTGCTGTCTTCGCTTGGAAGGTTGGTCAACGGTTTCTATCAAGGGATGCCTTTAAAGATGTAGTTTCTAAGTATGCTATATTACAGGGAAGGGATCTAGTATTTTATATCAGTGACCAAAAAAGGCAGCAAAGACTTCGGAGTTAGTTGTGGGCCAGGGTGTGGTTTTTTCCTGTATGGTGCTTGGGATTCTAGGAGAGCAACATTTGTGGTTAAAAGGATTAAGTCAGACCATACCTGTCTAAGAAACATGAAAAGAAATAGACAGTTGAAGTCTACTTGGGTAGCTAGGCAATTTTTAGAGGTGTTCAAAAGTAGACCCCATTTGGCAGCCAAAGAGATCATTGAGACAATCAGAAGGGCTTTTAAGGTGGTAGTGAGGAGGGGATTTGCATATAAGGTGAAATATGCTGCCCACAAATTGCTCCATGGGTCAATGCATGAGCATTATCAAAAGATTGGAAGGTACCTGGCTGCTTTGAAGAGTAGTACTCCAGGAAGTTCACTTGAGTTGGTGACTGTAACAACACTTAAGACTAGAAAAAGCCACTGACACCTGTGTTCCAGAGATTGTTTACTTGTTTTGAGGGTTTGCAAAATGGTTGGAAAGAGGGGTGTAGAAGGGTGATTTGTGTTGATGGGTGTTTTCTGAAGACCTTCCTAGGAGGGCAGCTATTGACAGCAGTTGGCAGGGATGGCAATGAGCAAATGTATCCCATTGCCTGGGCAGTTGTTGAGGGGGAAAACAATCTGTCTTGGGAGTGGTTTTTTGAGCAACTTCAAAAATGTCTAGATCTTGGAGATGGAGAAGGGATTTGCATCATCTCAGATGAACACATGGTATGTCTTCTGTCTCTTGAAGTTGTTTTCAATTTTTTGCATTTTTAGTGTCTTATTTTTGATATATGGTTATGTTGTTTGGTGTGAAGGCTATCTTGAATGGTGTTAGGGGTTGTGCTCCCTAGGGCAGAGCGCAGACACTTTGCTAGGCATGTGTTTGCATTGTGGCATAAGACTTATAAAGGGGATGATTTCAAGCTTCTGTTTTGGACAATAGCTAAGGCATACAACTTAGCTGATTATAATGATGCTTTAGAGAAGCTGGAGACATTTAACTCAGATGTTGCCACTGCATTTAAAGGCTACAACCCTAAGCTATTCTATAGAGCCTTTTTGGATACATCTGTGAAAAGAGATGAAATCACTAGTAACATGGCTGAGACCTTTAATGGGTATATCATCAATGCTAGAACAAAGCACCTGATTTATATGCTTGAGGAGATTAGGGATGCCTTGATGCAGAGGCTTGTGCTAAAGAGGATTGAAATGCAAAAATGTACTTCAGTTCTTTGCCCTAATATTCAGAAGAAGCTTGAGAAAGAGAAAGACAAAGCTGCATACTGTGATGTCATGCCTTCAACTGAATCATTGTTTAATGTCAGCTACCAATTAGATCAATTAATAGTGAATTTGGAGACAAGAACCTGTACTTGCAGGAAATGGGACATGGTTGGAATACCATGTTGCCATGCAGTTGCATGCATTTTTTTCCTGCACCAAAATGCTGAAGACTATGTTGATAAGTGGTACAAGAAGGATGTGTACATGAAAGCTTATGCAAGTATGTTTTTAGTTAAAGTTAGGCTTATGCTCTCAATTGACTGATATTGATTGTTAATGTTGTTAATATATGATTATGCTCTCAATTTCAGGGTCAATTCCACCATGTGAGGGGGAAAGACATTGGCCACAAGTGAATTGTAGCCTTGAACCCCCTCCCATCAAGATAAGACCATGCAGGCCTAGGAAGAATAGGATCAAGGATCCTAATGAGAATCCCAAAAAAAAACAGGGACATTGACAAGGATTGGCATGGAAATGACCTACAGTGTGTGTAAAGAGAAGGGTCATAACAAAAGAAGGTGTCCAAACAAGGACACAGCTACTGCTAGTGAACCTCCAGCAAAAAGACCAAAGGGTAGACCAAGGAATGATGGTCAGGTACCCCATTCAACAACTTCTACTGACCAACAAACTCAAGCCTCTACTGTGCAGCAACCTACTGGTGCCACCCAACAACATCACCTTGCTACTGCACAACCTACCCAGCTTGGGAGAGGGGGGGAGGATGATAAGAGGAGGACCTGGTTCAAGAGGTGGCAGAGGTGGCAGATCCTCTTCTACTGCATCTGTTGGGGAGCACTGCAATAGGGCAAGGAAGATCAAAGGGAAGGGGAAGAGGAAGAGGAAGGAACAGGCCTCCTGTTGGTGTTGGGATTATTCTGATGGCAGTGCTATCCAAGGAGTGAGTTAGCTTATTTCACTTTGTTTAGTTTCATGTCTTTATGATCTTCTTTGTTCACTTACACTACGCTTTCATGTGTTCACAGGGACCTTCTCAAGGCTGGCATAATGACCCTGGAATTCAAGGCAGCCAAGTTTGACAAGTTGTGATGAGGTGTTCAACACAACAACAGTAAGTATCTTGATCAAAACTAAGATGGTGGCATGTAATTTAGCCATATTTTGTGAACAATATGTAGTTCTTGTTTTCTGAATATTCTAGCCTATCAGTTGCATGTATTAACAATATTTTAGCCTATCTTTTAACTAAGTGAATATTTTGTGAACAATGTTTAAGCCTATCAACTATGTATGGTTTATGCTACACTGTCAAGATGGTGGCATGTAATTTTTGCCTATCAACTATGTTTGTCATGCACTGTCAACCTGGTTTTTGCTACACTGTCAACACATTTCACCAATGCACAAACATATATATGCACACACAAAAGATTGAATGTTTCCAAACACCTTCCATTTATTCACAACTTCAACACATTACATTCAACAATTCTAACACAACCTACTTCAAATACATCACAATAATTCCAAATAAGACCCATGACAACATTAAAGCCAAAGAAAAATTCTTCTCATTCCTAGAACTCTTCATAAGTTCAATTCGCATTTGAGAAACCTCTGCTTTCAACTCTTGCAAGTCTTCTTCCATGTTCTCCTTTTTCAATTGCAACTTCTTAACCTTCTCTTCAACTATCTGCTTCTGCATTTCCAATTCCGCAATTGTGGTTTCCTTCTCGAACAACTGAAAGCGGAGTTCATCCCCTATTTCTCTAACACCACCAATCCACTTGAAAAAACCACAATCCGCATCCTGAAATTGAAAAACAAACAACCAGTATTAAATTCCCAAATAAACCCTAAATTGTAATCCCAAATTCAATTACAACAACATCGCAACTCCACCGCATCACAGTACGCACCACCGCATCAGTTCCACATTTACATTTCAAGTTCGACAGACAACCCCTTGAAGAAGACGAACCAGAATTGCAACTTCCTCGCTGTTTTGCCCTATCCATAATTAAAGATTGTTTCGTAATTAATTCGCAACCTCAAATAATTAAGAAGGATTGAGAAGTAATGATTGTGAAGAATTGAGGAGCAACACACAATAGAGGAAAGATGAACAGAGGAGGGAGGGGGGTGGTTAAATAAAGGGGAGTTTTTTCTTTTTTTTAAAAAACCTAAATAATTCAAACAACGGTAAGTGCCACGTCAGCATAAGAACCGGTTGAAACCGGTTGTTAGACCTACAAGGGTTGCTGGGAGAAAATGGGGGGCAAAGGTTAGATTATTGCGGAATAATCAAAAGGTGGAATTAATATGGGAGAACAGAGTAAAGGTTGGATTATTCCAGTTAAATTTTCTTTAATAAATGAGCAAAAACTTAATTGCTCATTTGTCAAACGAGTTGCTCATTTGTCAAATGAGCAAGCATTTCTTTAATCATTCATTAAATCAGAAGTATTTCTTTGCTCATTTCACAAATGATCAATCAATTATTTTCAAATCCTAGATTAATTATTTTCTTTACTCAAATTATAACTGCCAGAAAAATTGATAAACCATCTTGCAATTAAACAAAATCAATCCGAAAACAAGAAATACTTGTATAAACAAACTACAGAGTAGGAATGATATACCAATCAATCCGAAAACAAGAACAAATCAGTATTAGAAACCTAATGAAAAGCCAATTACCATCTCCACATCAGCAAGTTAAAAGATAGAATCATAAAGTACCCCAATATATGAGTCTGTTTGCAAGTTGTAAATCTGACTAGCAAACCAGCCGAAGGATCCTCACAAATTTAAAGCAGGAAGTTTCATTTTAAATCAGTAAAAATCAGCCTTGATCTGTAAAATTATTAAAAATTCAGGTAATGAGAGAATAGGGCATAATGTAAGTTGATCCACCTCAGAAAACTAATGTCAAGGAAACAATGAAGCTAAATAGACTGCTAGTCGCAACACCAGGGACAACCAGAAAGCCTAGGCATGACAAAATAAAAATATGAAGCGACCAACACCAGGGTTCTACAATAAATTATTGAGCTCGGCAGCATCAAGTTTGTCAAATTGTCAAAATCAAGTGGCAAGAGAGGGAACAACAACAATGGATCTTGATGTAAATCAAGGCACACAATTACAGTCCTACCACTTGATAGCAAGTAGTGCTAGCTTAAGCACTACTATATATATGCATCGCAGGGTTAAGTCTTAAGTGATGCACCACTAATTGTCCTATTGATAATGTTGCCAATTTTTGATACTTCATGGAAATAATACTTTCAAATTAATTTATTTATTAAAATAATTTCTTAACAGCAGCATTATTTCTTTTAAAAATCAAAAGTTTTGCAACAAGTCACTGGTACAGTGGTTGCTGAGAGACGGTTCGGGTGACTTACTGCATCTTCCTGATTCCTTTCAGTAGATAAGCTGACTGCTAATGTGTCAATTATTTTCAAATCCCAGATCTATTATTTTCTTTACTCAAATTATAACTGCCAGAAAAATTGATAAACTATCTTGCAATTAAACAAAATCCCAGATCTTAATTGTTTTCAAATCACAAAAGAATACAACTACTCTCAACAACCCCCAATTTAAACTATATACACACTTCAGAAGTTCAGATCATCTACACAGCAAGCTTAAGCAACAAAATTATAGCCTCAATCAATTTCTTGCAATTATACTCAGATTTAGAGTTTTGAAATATTCACATTCAGATCCAACACCAGAAAACAAAAACACAAAAAACAAAAGACAAAAATGAAAGAAAACTGAAAAAAAAATCAGTGAGGCATTTTGTCGAATACCTTGTAAGCAGTCACAATTCTCAGCTTCTTTGCGTACACCATCCAGAACATAATCAATCAATCACCCACATCACAAAAAGAACATGTCTACAATAAAGTATGCATAAATTACTAAGATAATAAACTGATATAACCAATTAAGCAAATTAAACTCATATGAGAAAACTATAAAACATGAGCAAACTAAATTCAAATGAGCAAAGTGAAATAAAATGAGCAAACTAAAATAAAATGAGCAATTTAAACTAAAATAAATTGATACTTACATTCATCGTTCTTAAGTAACAGCTGGAAGTTTTGGTTCATCGTTTGGATCAGGGCTTCAGTTGAATCCATTTGCAATTCGCGATTTCTAGGGTTTAAGCAAAAAATAGAAAAAACCCAATTCATGAATAACGTAATTTTGTAACAAATCTTAGCAACATTATATAAAAAATAAACAACATTAGACTAAATAAATCAATATAATTGTGAATATTCAGCAAAATATCGCTTGAAAATTCAATCACAAACACAAAATTCAGATTATAAACAAAAGCATGATTAAACAAAATTCACAAGAATACAAAATCGTAAACGAACAACAATCATTTATCAGATTGTCATCCGTATAGACCAATTAAAACCATAATTTAACAAAAAAAAGTATGTTAATAATTTAATATTAGGCTGAAAAAAACATACAAAAAATCGAAAAAAGGCAAAATTGAGCGTCATACATGAAAAAATTCGAAGAACAAAAGAATTTAACGATGAAATTGAGGAGCTTACAAAAATTTGATGATAAATCCCGCCGATTTGATCTTCATGTAAGTGGAGTTTCTTAGTGGAAAATTTAGAGAGAGAATGAGTGAAACCTGAGAAAGTTTCATAGAGGAAGTCGTTTGGAAAAGAGGAAGAAGAAAGAGGTGTAGTTTTGGTGAAATTTACAAAAAAGCCATTACTAGTACTATTTTTCGGACGTTGGATCAATTTTGATCAATGGTCTAGATTTGTTCTCATATAGATTAGAGTTCTCACATAAGGGATGTGTTCTCACATGATCCCATTGCTATATATATATATATATATAGGACCAAGTTATAATGAGAACCTCTCTTATAATAAGAACTAGGAACCTTTCTCGTCCGTCAGATCTTATAAAAAAACAACGGTTGTGATTAGCTTCTGTCCAAAATGCCTACACAGTACACACCTTCTCGCTCTAACATTTTCTAGTTCTTCATAGTTTCATCTAACAAATACTTGATTTGATTTTAATTATGCATTTTCGCACTCAAATTTTGAAATTATTACGCGAAAGTTCGATTTCTCGTTTGAATCTGCAAGTTGATTTCATAAGCAAGTACTTTCAAGATACATAAGCTAAATTAGGTTTAAAATCGCGGTTTCTAAAGCTTCATTGTAATTTTCAGGTAAGTTTTCAGATTAGATTAAGAATTCGCTCCAAATTTGCAATTTATCAATCTTGATTGTTTGTTAAATCTGCAGGTTGATCAAACCTAACTAACAACCTCATTTATCTAAATTTATCTTCAGTTTTGAATTTCTATATAGTACTTAGTTTTATGTCGATTGTCCCAAAATATATGGGTCAAGTAAAGTTCTCTTGATCACCTTAGAAAACACTTCAGTCATATAGAAGAAATAATTAGTCACATGGTCCTGTCCTATAGAGCTTCCTACATCCACACCAAAACAAGCAAAGAGTACTAACATGACCAGGCAGAGTTGAATGGACAAAATAACGACCATCATGTATATAAACTCAAAAGTAAATAAGATAAACTCAAAAGTAAATAGAAATTCACTAACATCTAGGCAATTCTCTATGCTATCACGAGATAACAGATAATCCAACCTGAAGAGATTGACATATAGCAGAAAGTCCAACACCACTTCGATATCACTTAACTAAAATTGAGCTTCTTTTTTAGACCACAGGCAATAACAGCAGCTGGTGCACTAAGAATGCCTAAGACACTATCTCTAGCTATGATTCCTAAATCTTTTGTTGCCCGAAGTTGGTGCACCAGAAAAAATTCTCCATTTTCCTTACTCCAAACAGAAGCCCCCAGACAACCATGAACTTCACAACCACACAACCGCACAACCAAATACTCAACTCGACAACTACCATCAACTTAAAAGGTAATAATACAAACTCTAAAGTAAATTAAATAACCAAAAATATCATGTAATTTCTAAGATTTGGAACATGACAATCAATAAAACATGAAAATCAAACAAACACAATAGTTACATTAATAATAAACTATATTACTACACAAATTCGACTGAAAACCCTAATTACAACAATTAAAATTAATTTTTTTAGTCAAATAATTACAAATAAACCGTAAGTTCAACAAATTACATAGATTCGAAAAAAAAACGACGATTTGGATCACAGTTCAGGCAATACTTCAAATAGGAAGCGAAATTCAACAACAAAATTGCAAATGCGGAAACATATAATTGTAAGTGCCCTAATATTTCAACTGAAATCACAAATACTCAAACAAATGATTTGGAAAACCCTAATTTCGCAATCTAAATCGCAAAATTTGGATTCAAAATCAAAAGAAAGCAATGCTAATTAAAATCAAATCAATTTACCTGCCCATAAACTTGCTAGAACAATGCATGAAGATGAGAAGATGAAAATTTGCTAAATAGAAGGTGTGGGAAAAAATTAGAGAAATCGCAGGAGAAGAGAGCATTTGCAGGAGGAGAGAGAAAACAAACTGTAGAGGGAGAAAGTGAAAATAAAAACAGACAGGATTTAGGGTAGTCATTCAACCGGATGAATGACCATTATACCCTTAATGAAGCGGGTTAAATGTGAATTGTCCGATGTTGCGCGATCAATGGCTGACAAAAGTTCCTAGTTCCTATTATACATAAGGTTCTTGATTATATATATATATATATATAATTTCAGATGTTTATAATAGAACTTTTTTTAAACAAAAATAAATAGCAATTTGGAGGAAAAATATTTCACAAAACTATGTGAAGTGTCCTATCCGGTGATTACTTTAATATATAGTATAGACTAGATTAATCTCGTGCGATGCACGATATATATTGACAAATAAATTTGTTATATTGTTAGTTTGTCACAATTACAAAGTTTGTACTAAATTTGGATGTTGATTAATACACTAAATTTCCAAATTAAAGGAAAAAAAAATGAATAGTAAAATAAATTACCAAAAAATCTATTAAATATTGCTAAAACGGACTACGCTGACGTCACCACTGTCCACATGTCCCTCTCTTAATAAAAAAATTACCGCCTAAATGCGATGATGATGTCATTTTTTTTAAGTATCATATTTAACATTTTTGATATTTAAATATTAGAAGCTTTTACCTTACAAGTTACAACTAAAACCTAAGTGACATTGAACAGGGTATAATACAGAAATTTTGATGAAAATCTAAAATTTTAAAATTAATATTATATTTTGTACATCTTCTTTTTTATATTTATGTATAATAGCCAATTTAATTTGGGGACATGCATTTCAAACTGCGGAGGTTAAACATGGTTCGATCCATGATGGGTCTTACCGATCTTATTATTTCTTTTTGGGGACATGCATTTCAAACTGCGGTACTAACACTGAACTAACACTGTTAGACATGGTTCGATCCATGATGGGTCTTACCGGTCTTCCTATTTCTTTTTGGGGACATGCATTTCAAACTGTGGCACTAACACTGAACCGCGCTTCATCAAAAATTGTCGAAAATACTCCATATGAATTATGGACAGAGAAACCTCAGCAGTTGTCTTTTCTTAAGATTTTGGGGTTGCGAAGCAAATATCAAGAGACTCATGTCTGATAAAGCTTGCACCAAAATTTGACAAATGTTACTTTGCGGGGTATCCAAAAGAAACAAAGGGGTATAACTTCTACAACCAATCTGAGAACACAGTATTTGTTGCTTGAGATTGTGTCTTTTTGGAAAAGGAGAACCTTTCAAAAATGACCAGTGTGAGGAAAATCAAACTTGATGAAGTTCGAGAGGATGAGCAACAAAACAAATCTGACAAAATTGACAATCAAAGGGCTTTGGAAGCAGCTATTGATAATAGTCAGAGTCAAACCGACAATGTTAATGCTCAACTTATCACCTTGCGTAGGTCGCAAAGGCCAAGATCTCAACCAAACAAATACCTTGGTGTCGTCTTAACCGAGAATAAAGACATCCTAGTTGTGGATGATAATGAGCCAGTGACATAAAAACAAGCTTTGACGAGCCTTGACTCTACTAAATGGCTCGAAGCCATGAAATTCGAGATGGATTCCATGTTTGAGAATCAAGTCTGGGACTTAGTTGATTTGCACGAAGGTTATACACCATCGATTCTAAATGGATTTCAAGTTGAAAACTGACAAAGATGGAAATGTATATGTATACAAAACTAGATTAGTGGCAAAAGGTTACAGGCAAACTCACGACGTTTATTATGATGAAACCTTTTCACCAGTCGCAATGTTTAAATCCGTTCGGATTATCCTAGCAATTGCTGCACATTACAATTATGAAATATGGCAACTGGATGTCAAAACCGCCTTCCTTAATGGGATTTTGGAAGAAACAGTGTACATGACACAACCCTAAGCTTTTGTAGATCCAAATAATGTTGGGAAGGTATGCAAGATTAAGAAATCCTTTTATGAATTAAAGCATGCTAAGCTAGCAGGAGTTGGAATCTGTGATTTGATGAAGGTATCAGTAAATTTGGCTTTGTCAAGAATCCCGATGAGTCTTGTGTTTACAAGGAGGTCAGTGGAAATAACATCGCATTACTGGTCTTATCTGTCGATGACATATTGCTCATTGGGAACAACATTCCGATGCTAGAGTTTGCAAAGACTTGGCTCGGAAAGTGTTTTTCAATGAAGGACTTGGGAGAGGCACTGTGCATTTTGGGCATCAAGATCTATCAGGATAGATCTAAGAGAAAGATTAGATTGAGCAAAAGTACTTATATTGAAGGTACTGGCACAATTCAATATGGTGGAAGCCAAGAGAGTCCTCCTACCCATGTCTCATGGAATAACTCTTAGCAAGAAATAGTGTCCGAAGACACCTGGTGAGTGAGAAAGAATGAATTAGATTCCATATGCTTTGCTTATTGGATCGGTCATGATGTTATGATAAGTACAAGGTCGAATGTATTGTATGCCTTAAGTGCTACGAGCCGATACCAATAAGACCCAGGAGAGACGCATTGGACTGCAGCAAAGAATATCCTGAAGTACCTGAAAAGGAACAAGGATAAATTTATGGTCTATGGTGGAAGTAAGGACTTGGTTATTAAAGGTTATATCGACGCAAACTTCCAGACTGACAAAGACGATTTCAAGTCGTAATCAGGATACATATTCTGTCTGAATAGAGAAGCGTTCAGTTGGATGAATGTTAAGAAAAGCACGACTGTAGATTCTACAATTGAAGTCGAATACTTGGCAGCTTCAGAAGCAGCTAAGAAGGCAGTTTGGATTGGTAAGTTCGTTGACGAACTTGGTGTTGTGCCCTCAATCAAGGGACCAATAGACCTATATTGTGACAACAATGGGGCTATTGCTCAGGCCAAGGAGCCAAGGGAACATCAGAAGGTAAAACGTGTCATGAGGCGATTTCGCATGATAAGGGAGTGGAAAATCGAAGGTGAAATCAGGATTTGCAAAATTGGAACAAACGATAATGTAGCTGATCCACTTACTAAACCTTTGCCACAAGTGAAACACAACAAGCACGTTGAGGCAATGGGAATTAGGCATGTCGGAGATTGGCTCTAATTTCCTATCTATGTGTTTTAGTTAAGTAATGGAGATCTTAATGTAAAACACTAAGTTAACCATTCATTTATGGAGTAATTATAATTTTTTTGTAAATTATTATTCCATTTCTATTTAAGTGTGGTTTAGAATTAAATAATGAATCCATTCGATTTGACGATATTCAAATAGGGTATCAAGACAATGTCTTGGATAAAGAAACGCCTATTGATTGAACATTGAATATCATATCGAAACTATCCCTAATCGAGGTCATTTGAAAGTTGGAGGACTAATGACCACGCGAGATTAGTGTGTAGTATGATTTATAGCACCGTTTCTTGTGCTACAAGGACAATAATATCATAAATTATTTGCATAGGTATTAATTTAGATTTATATCAAATTGACCTATGAGGATACTTTAAGAGATTTAACAATCGTCATAAGTATATTACTCATTATGGATATCGGTACCTCCTACCTCAACCATGAGTATTTTAAGTTCTCTTGCTTGAGTACTAGTCCGTTTTGATGTTGTTAAACGTCTGCCGTACAAGGGGATTATAAAGGCAACACTCGGGCGACAAAGGCCTCTTAGTAAGGGAAGCTTAACAATGCAAGATTGGGAATGTCCTCTTATTAACAATAGAAAACATGTATTTGTTGTTTACAAGACCTCTCGAAGAGCAAGACTGTGAAAATGCATGGCCGTGCTCAGATGGATTTTAGAAATCATCTCTACTTGACAGTCGAACTCGGAATATCGAGAAACACTTCTGCACGTAATAAGGATGACGATAAATCTTATCTTATAGTTCATGAAGAGGCATTCAGTGACGACATAGGGATAAGGAAATACACATACATCAAACTTGTCCGGAAGGACAAGTGGGAGATTGAAAGAAATGGTATCCTTCGAACAAGTGTATTATTCCGATATAGGGTTCAAAATTAATTAGGAAAGCCAATTATTCAGTGAAGTGAAGTGATCGGAATGCCTAGCTGAAGGCCGCTTCTGATCAGTAAGATTAATATATAATTAACCTTACAACTTGCTCTTGACTAAACCCTACGGGTTACACCCAATTGTGTAACTGAACATAGGCGACGAATTAATCCGAAGGATTAAATAAGCCGATAAGGATTTTACGAACTCAGACATCGGATTCCGAACTTAGAGTGTCGAAGCCCGACGTCAAATGTCGAGTCGATTTTGGGAATCGAACAAGACAATAAATAAGTCAAACAACAAGTCAACGCTCAACCGTAGCCTCGCATTGGCCTAGCCATGCGAGGGCTAAGCTAGCCAAGGCCACCAACCGCAAGGAGTGGCTACGTCGCAAGCCCAGCAAGCATATGCGTGCTAGGCCAGCTGACCGAACATGCTTGCAGGCTAGTGTGCCCAGTCGCTCGCACGCCAGGCAGCAACACACATAATGCACTATTGGGTTACCTGGCCTTCCCGCAAGCAAGCAGCTCACAGCAGCCCCCTAGCAAGCAAGGGCCTGCTCCCAGCCAAGCACAAAGCCGCTAAAAAGGCGCGCCTTGGTGCCCAAGGCTAGGCGCCAGCTGGCGCGGGTTCATTGGACCTTGTTTGCATGAGGTGGGTTTGCTTGGGGAGAAAGGGGAATTGTGGTCCTCCCCTTGTGGTCCTCACCTACCCTCACTTTCCATTTGCCACTTGTTGTTTGCTAATTGATTAATGTAATTAATTTAATTTAGAATTAAATTAATTGCTTATTTTCCCATTTTATTAACTCCCACATGGAAAGATGATTGAGGTTTTTGGGAGTGCTTTGCCTATAAAGACCAACTTTGGGAGTTGGGAAATTTACACTTTGATTTGAACTCAATACGACATCTCCCAAAAGCATGAGAAAACCTTGAAGTTCGTAAAACTCAAATTTTGGTTTAGCCTTGTCTAAGCTACGAGACAAGAACCTTGTTCGGGCGCGTGGTTGTGCGAATTAGGAGGATTC